GCCCCACTGCTGAGGACAGCTTCCACACAGCTCTTTGAAAGTAGAGAAGTAGAGCTGGTGTAAGCTTAGAGCCTTCACCCATATGGTACAATCTCTTTGGGGAGAGAAGGTAGTCTGGAGGTTATGGAAAGAGAAACCTGGACAGATATCAACCCAGCCACAAAAAACTTCCACCTACAAATCTGTCCTGCCTGCAAGATGTACTGGGGCAACGGTGGTGTGCAAGTTGTAGGAGTGACCAACCAATGATTGGTTTAACTTGGGGCCCATGCCCTACACTGCCTGAATGGCCAGGAACCAGAGAGTGGCTAGCCCAGAAACTTAGGGTAGAATCAAACATGACTGGTCAAAAAAGAAAGAAAGACAGAAAGGAAAGAAGAGAAGGAGGGAGGGAGGGAGGGAGGGAGGGAGGGAGGAAAGAAAAGAAATCAATTAAATGATTCCTAATGAGTTTCTGCTATACTCATAGATTGGTGCCTTGTCCAGTCGCCATTGGACAGGCTTCCTCCAACAGCAGACGGGAGCTAGTGCACAGACCCACAGCTAGACATTATACAGAAGGGCTAAATTTGAAGTGTCTATCCAGCTCCTCTCAGAGATCAGGGAACCCCGCCGAAGAGGGGGAGAAAAGAAAAGTAGGATTCAAAAGGGATGGAGGACAACAAGAGAACATGGTCCACTGAATCAACTAAGCAGGGCTCACATGGACTCACAGAGGCTGAAGGCCTGCAGGGGTCTGCACCAGGTCCTATGGGTATATGTTGTGGCTGATAGCTTTTTCTGTGTGTGTGTGGGGGGGTGCGCCTGTCACTGGGAGAACGTGTGTCTCTGATTCTTTTGCCTACTCTCCGGACTCTTTTCCTCCTATTGTACTGACTTGTCCAGCCTTGATAGGACAGCTTTGGGATTGTCTTTTTTTATCTTGATTTGTTCTATTGGACTTCTGTCTCTTGGAGGCCTGCTCTTTTCTGAAGAGGAAATAGAAGGGGAGTCAATCTGGGGGAGAGGGGAGATGGAGGGCTAGTAGAAGGAGTGGAGGGGGGGAAAACTGTGATTGGCATATATTGTAAGAGAGAAAAACCTATTTTCAAAAAAAAAAAAAGGAAAATTTTTACATGTTGTTTTTTCTCTAGCCACAACCAAGAAAGGAGCCTCTGAAGTGTAGTGAATGAGAATGATTAGAAACTAGGCCTTGGAAACACATATTAATACAAATACTTCATAATGACTGTGTTTAAAAGGAAATTCCTTCATAGTAAGATATTCCCTCTTTTAGTAAGACTTCTTAATATCTAGGGCTGTAGCTCAGAAGGAGAATTCACCTCTCATGACCAAGAAGGGATCTTGGATTTGGACTTCAGCAAGAAAATATGGTGGAGAAATGTTGTTTTGCTTTTACTTTTTAAAAATATGGTAACCAGGACATTTGAAATCATATAATTATGTCATTGTTTTAAGTTAGAAGTGATTTTTTGTTTTTTTTTAATTTTATTTTATTTTACAACACAATTCAGTTCTACATATCAGCCACGGATTCTCTTGTTCTTCCCCCTCCTGCCCCTCTCCCCTTCCCCCCAGCCCACCCCCATTCCCACCTCCTCCAGAGCTAAGCAGTGGAATTGAGAATAACAGGCACTCACCTGTGTGTTAGTACCTCTTATAACAAGTGAGCTTAGGTCTAATGCACAAACAACCACATAATAACCACCTGATTTTAACAGCTCACATTGTCCCTGCAAAGTTATTGCCCAGAATCATTTCCCTTACAAGTTTCTGGTTCTGGTCAACAGGACCTCTCTTAGCTCCACACTGAGACATGAATTTTATTCTCTTGAAAAGATACCCTTTATTTTTATTTTAATTATTTTTCAAAATCATGCATACTAATGGCTTATATGGTTAATGGATAGCAACTTTTTTAACTTAAATATAACTATGATCAAATTCTGGAAGGTACGCTAGAACAATGACATTTGGGAATGTATGGGATTTCGCTGTCCACCAACTTCAACAGAGGGCTTTCTTTCATCCTTGGCCACAGCATCAATGCAGGCCTACTCTAATGATTTCCTTAGCTGATTGTTTTTTTCAATAGGCCCCACAGTTATCAGACACGAGGACTTCTTTTCATTCTCTAGTCAAACATGAAGTTACTCATCAAATGTCATCTGCCTGAATTTATTTTTTAAAAAATGAGCAGGACCCCATCTTTATTCTTAAAGAATGTTGCGATTGTCTGAGCAGCTACAGGCTAGACAATAGAAATATGGAAGAGCAGATTCTCCATACACTGGAGAAACAGAAGCACAGATCTTGAGAGCATTGAGGATGGCTTGACATGGACTAAACAGATAAGACTAGATTTCTAGAAACCACTTTACGCTCTTATGTATTTGAAAACAGCATTAAGAGAGAGTGTTAAGGAGCTTAATATTAGTGACCAGGCAAAAGCTGGTCTACCTTCCAGGAACTCTTGACAAAGTAGCTTCAGTGTCTCCAAGTAGAGATAGGGTTGCTAGATTAGTCTGGTGGGTTCTGTGACCATCCTCTGGTTCTGACAGAAGCATGCAGAAGAGAACTGTCCCCTGTGCTCCTTTGTCTTCTGTTACCTCTTCCCAATGTTTTTCTCTTTTCTTTGCCATTGTTAGAATGAGCAACACATGTGCTTTAGTCCCACTGCATGTAATCAAGTTGCTAACAATTTCAGTCATGAAAATAGTAGCTTGTTAAATAGAATAGCAGATTTATCATTTGTAATTCATTTTAGCTGGAAACAAAATAAAAAAAATTGCTAAAAGGTAAACCAAAGTCAATCCCCATGTCCAAGTGTAAGCTGAAAAGGGAGAAAATGTAAGTGATATTGTCCAGTGGTGCCTTGAATTCAACCATAAGGCCTGCTCAATCATTCTCTCAAGCCCCATTCTTTATTTGATATCATTTTGGTTCAACATAACTAAATCATTGGAAAATAAAGATCACTTCTCTCAAACTTCAGTAGCCCTTAAGTGAATAAATTGATTAAATAGTTAAAGCAGATATTTTATGAGAATATCATTCCATCAAATATGAAAAAGCACTAGGGAGAAGAAAAAGAAGGGGAAGAGGCATGAGATAGGACAATAAAAATAGGGAATTAGAAGCACTGAGTCTGACCACAGTGCAAAAAAAGATGTAAAGAAAGCAGGATGAAAAGAATGGTGGACAATCAGCAGGCTCACATTGTTCTGCCTATGGGAGGACTGCTCCACTCTCACCTGCCTTTCGCTGTTCACTTGAGGATACAGGTGAGTGTGAGTCGGACAACTGGCCCTGGAGGTTCCATTTACCACTTTGCTGTGGATATCATTTTGTATAAATAAACACTGATTGGCCAATAGCCAAACAGGAAGTATAGGTGGGACTAACAGAGAGGAGAATTGAGGAAACAGGAAGGGAAGGGAGAGATTACCTGGAGCCACCACCAGGACAAGGTATTGATAAGCCACGAGCCATGTGGCAAAGTATAGATTAATAGAAATGGGCTAAATATAAGAGTAAGAGCTAGACAATGATAGGCCTGAGGTAATGGCCAAGCCGTTTAAATAATGTAAGAGTCTGTGTGTTTATTTTATAAGTGGGCTCTGGGACTGGCGAGACTTGGCGGGCCTGGGGAGAAATTCTCCAGCTACAAATGGCACCCAGTGGCTTGAGTTTCCACCTTAAACCTGAGAATATTTAATAAGCAATTCTAAACAGAGCCAAAACCAGATTCCTGCTTCATGTCTCGTACGGGCAGCTAGACGCCGCAAAACACGGGTTTGAGCTACTGGCGGGTTTCTGGCATGCACACTTGACCTGCAGTATGGCAGGAATGAGGCCTCTGTAAGTGGCACATTAAGCTGCATGGTGGATTTAGACTTTGCTAGTACAAAATAAAAAGAGGTTTCTGGGCTACACGCTGGTAAGGGACAGAGGAAAACCAATATTTTTATTTAAAACAGGTTGATTATAAATGCAATCTCTAAAGAAGAAAAGGGAATATAGATATAGATATAGAATATGATATAGTTATATAGGATATAGATATGATAGGATAAAAGGGTAGATTAATGAACCTACTATTAAAGAACAACAACTTGTTTAACGTGTTTTACATTTGGTATAGATTTTAGTTTATGTTTAAAATGTTTTACATTGGTATAGATTTTAGTTTATTGATACAAGTTTAAACTTAATTTTGTTATACTGTATATATATTTCTATTTTCATTTGAGGTATTATGTTTATGTAACTCATTTAGATTGTAGTGATAATTAAAAATACAGAATAATAATTAGTCTTTTATGATAGTCAAATTTGTACCATGTTAGTTAAGTTTTCTAGGTATACATACATATATTACAGATGGACAGGTAATCTTCAAGCACTTCAAAGACCTACAGAATATGGCATTTAAAATATTTTTAAAAGTTTAGACTTTCTGGACAGTAAGACATGTCTGCTCCTAGAAGCACCGATTTACTTCAGAGAGAAGGATGGGCATCGAAGACACTCCATATGGAGTTTATCTTTGCCTTGGCAAAAATAGCCATTTGGACAAGAAACTGTTCTTTCCTGGACTGCTTGATCGACTGGACATGCAGGACCCATGGAAAGGTGACCACTAAACTTTGCTTGACAAAATGGTCCTTATAGGTTCCTGCTTCACAGAAAAAAACTGCCAGACATTCTACAGAACACAGAGAAAAATGACTAAAAAACTCTAGCCCTGTGGGGTTAGACAGATGCCCCAACTTTACAAGAAAACTTTGGATAACTGTCCAGGCTGTCAGCTGTCTCTGTCTACCCTACAAGACTCCCGAAATTTGCTTGCATCCTCCCGTTTCTCAGGTAATATTATATCCTTCTGAAGTCTTTGATGTGGTTGAAGCTAGATAGTCACAATTTTCCTTAGTTATGATAACAGATAAGTTATATATAAAACCTTAAACTCACAAATATAAGATAGATAAAATATCTTCTTTAATATTGTAACTATAATTCTTGCTCGATAGTTGTTTTGTTATATAATTTTACTATGTTAAAGTTAAAACCTTCCTTTTTGAAAAAGAAGAAAAGGGGAAGTGCTGTCTATATCACTCTGTATAAGTAAACACTGATTGACAATAGCCAGACAGGAAGTATAGGCGGGACTAACAAGAGAGGAGAATTGAGGAAATAGGAAGGGAAGGGAGAGATTGCCTGGAGCAGCCGCCAGGACATGGAAGTATAAGGTACCGATAAGCCACGAGCCACATGGCAAAGTATAGATTAATAGAAATGGGCTAAATATAAGAGTAAGAGCTAGACAATGATAGGTCTGGGCTAATGGCCAAGCAGTTTAAATAATGTAAGAGTCTGTGTGTTTATTTTATAAGTGGGCTCTAGGACTGGCGAGACTTGGTCAGAACTGGAGAGAAATTCTCCAGCTACACCACTTGCTCTCTAGATACTGAGTCTTTGTGTCTTAGTCAGTAACAGTGTAAATTTAAGATAGTAATAACAATGTTCTCAAATACAAAGTAGTTTTGAGTATTCACTAAATCTATTCCATTAAGCTGAAGGGTACCTAAGTATTCACTACTGATCTCTCTTTACAACTGTCTAGGTAGGAAGCACAGTGGACGTAGGACAGTCCACAGTGATGATTTTACCTCCTTATTCCTGAGGCTGTAGATTAATGGGTTTAGCATAGGGGTGACCAGGTTGTTCAGGACCTGAACAGTTGCATCCAGCCAAGGGCTTGGTGTTGGCCTCAGATAGATGAAAATCACTGGCATGTAAAAGAGCAAGATGGCAGTTAGGTGGGCGCTGCAGGTGGAGAAGGCTCTGTGTCTGCCCTCCGTGGAACGGATCTGGAGGATGGAGCGAACTATACAGCTGTAGGAGGTGAGAATGAAGAAGAAGCAACTGAGGGGCATGAGGCCCACACTGATGAATCCCACCATCTCCAGGGTTGATGTGTCTGCACAAGCCAATTTCATCACCACAGGGATATCACAGAAATAATAGTTCACCTCTTTGGGACCACAATAGGGCAACTGAAAGGTAAGAGTAGTTAGAAATGTTGAATGAATGCAGCCAAAAACTGATGTCCCCATAGCCAGAGAGGCACATACTCTATGGCTCATGATGATTGAGTAGCGTAGAGGGTAGCATATGGCAACAAAGCGGTCATAGGCCATCACTGTGTATAGGAAACATTCTGTACCCCCCAGGAAATGGTAGAAGAAGAGCTGGGACACACAGCCTGCATAGGAGATGTCTCTGCTATTTCCTGAGAGATAGAACAGCATCTTGGGAGAACTCACGGAAGGGAAAAATATGTCACAAACAGACAGCTGGCACAGGAAGAAGTACATGGGGGTGTGAAGCCGAGTGGAGGAAATAATTGCGAGGAGTATGAGCAGGTTCCCCACTAAAGTGAAGATGTAGAAAGACAAAAACAGGACAAAGAGCGTGGTCTCCAGACCCTCTGTGTGCGGGATGCCAAGCAGGATAAATTGAGTCACTACTGAAAGGTTCTTCATAGCTTTGAGAATGTTTGACCTTGCAAAGATTAAAAGTCAACAATCTGGTCATCGATATCTATTAAGAAGCTGGTTCTCGAGCCGGGCAGTGGTGGCGCACGCCTTTAATCCCAGCACTCGGGAGGCAGAGGCAGGCAGATCTCTGTGAGTTCGAGGCCAGCCTGGTCTACCAAGTGAGTTCCAGGAAAGGCGCAAAGCTACACAAAGAAACCCTGTCTCGAAAAAAACAAAAACAAAAACAAAAACAAAACAAAAAAAAAAAAAAAGAAGCTGGTTCTCATGAGTACTTTGAGTATGATTTGAGAAGCAGCAAATGGCTTTCTACAGATGTGCAAAACCAAGATCTCAGTAAAAGTACCAGTTACTATAAATTCATATTTGAGTTTGTCTACCCAGGTTTTAGAAAAGATGCTTCATGAATATAAATGGTTGTCTTCTGTTCCAAGGGCAGAAGTTAAAAGACCTAGTCAAATATTCTCATTAGACACTGCTGTACACGAGTTTATATTCTGAGAACATGTTTGTTGAATCTTGATAATATATTTAATGACCGGCTGTCACTCTTCATTATACTCTGCAAAGCAGTAAGAAAATATTGTATGAGAAATCATGACATTTCATAGGAATCCTGACCTTGATTCTTCTTAGCTACACTAATTGAGATCATTTATACAATGTGTTTCATAGTCATCTACAAAGTGTAAGACATACTTACTAAATGTGTTCTTATATAACAGTAAAGTTTATAAACTGTCTGAAAGTTCCCAGCAAAACTATTACCAAACTCTAAGGTAAGGTCTTCCTTAACTTTACGCAGCTACAACTTCTAGAAACGCCAGGGAAGACAAAAGGGAATGAAAGGAGCCTCCTTGGTGATGCTTTCCAAGCATCTTTTGAGGTATATTATCATCAATACATCAACTGTCTCTAAGACAATTGGCATGATCAGTGGTCAGTAACACTATGGTACTGAGTTTGTAGTCAGCCTTGACCTATTTTGTGTGGCCCAAAGCTAAAAAAGTATATATGATAGGAAGGAATAGCTATATTTATTGCTGTCAGTTTATTCTTTATCTCAGTTATTTTTGTATTAGGGTATAATACCCTTCACAAGTGAAATGCTTGATGGTCAGAAACTTTCTTTACAAATGTTGAGTGGCTACCTCTCACATAAGTCCAGGCAAGAGGGACCTACTCTGAGGTGTGATCTCTCTTGTATTAAAGAAGGTATTCATTGTTGATCTCCTTTAAAGATATTAGAATTACAAAATTCAAAAGGAAAGGGATTTCTAACACAACACCTAAAAATCCCCAAGTTGCTTGTAACTCATTTTCATGCATTAGCCTTTAAATAAGAATTAAATATCCATATGTGGCTAATAATTTACTGCAAAATTAAAAGATGAGCCTATGGCAGGTACTGTACAGTGGCCACAAATCTAAAGTATAAACTGATAAAAGAAAATATGATTAGCTATTCCTTCCCGACCCAAAGATAGCAGAGATAAAAGAAAAACTGACAGCAATAAATATAGTTATTCCTTCCCATCGTATGCACTTCCTGAGTTCTGGGCCACACAAAATAGCTCAAGGCTAACTACAAACTCAAACCTTGAGAATATTAATGTTAAATATTTCTCTCAGGTAATCCAGAAGGATGAGTACTGCTTTCCTAACCAAGGCCCATGCCAACCTGGGAAGAAGGCAATTTTGTAATAATAATATAATAAAAATCATAAAGCAAAAAGGTCTTGAGTACCCAGTTCCTACCCTCCTGATTTGTTCACCTTGCCTTTTTATTGGGTTTCTTTTCCTTTAATTCTTATTTAATGAAAAGTGGGACTTTTTATTAACCCTTCTTTGATTCCCTTGCCCCAAATATCTCTCTCTCTCTCTCTCTCTCTCTCTCTCTCTCTCTCTCTCTCTCTCTCTCCAATAAATGGTCTAAAAGTTCTCCTCAGTTTCCATTCTTATTTCCTTTTGTTAATGACAGCAAGAACTTATGAAAGAGACTCTATGCCCTGGAAGGGGACTCTATGCCCTGGATGGAGCATAATTTAGCTCTTAAGTTGAACCATTAACACTGGTTTTCTACACTTATATACAAATAATTTTTTTGCTAACTTGGGTCTTTGACTTTTCAAGAAAAATAAAATAATGCTAAACAAGAGCCCAACTAAGTAACAATTAAATGGTATTGACAAATTCACATATAAAAACTCAGTAGATCTATTTAATATGCATAAACTATAAATAGAAATAGAATCCCAAGGCACCTATGTTTCCAATTTATTAAACCAAATGTTTTGTATAACTATTATATGTCAGACACAGTCTCTATCAACTCACTGGCAATTCATATGGTCTCGGGGCTCAGGTCATCTTGTAAAATAATCTTTTAAAATTCTATTATTGGATTGTAATCTGTTGGATCCTTTACACAAATGTCCACACAATGTTATTTACTATCTTTAGAGAAAGATGGTAGAAATATAGGACAGAATATTTACTGGCTTTTCTAATTGTTTCATGTTAGATATGTAAAACAATTTGGTTATTATCCATATTCTTGAGGCAGGATCTCACTGGGTGGCCCTAGCTTGCCTGACTCTTATGTAGATAAGTTTAGTCCCAGGCTCACATAGATTTTTCTGCTCTTGTTTCTTGAGTGCTGAGATTACAGGGAAACATCACCATGTCCAAACCCATATGCATTTTTAAACAGAAATTATTGAATTGCTATCCAAGACAGGGTAATTAAATAGAGTGCATGGGATATTTTTCTGTCTTACTCTAAATTCATCCTATCCAAAGGTCAAACTTGGTAGCCAGTGTCCTCACTGTTAGCAACTGTTTTTTTTAATCACTTTATTTTTTTGAGGTTATATATAATTACATCATTTCCCCCTTCCCCTTTTCCCCTCAAAAAACTCTCCCTTAAACTTATTCCTCTAATTCAAATTCTAGCATTTTTTTCATTGTTACATGCATGTACATATATACATATATATTCCCTAAATACAACCTGCTCAGTCTTTATAATGTTACTTGTATGTGTTTTCAGAGCTAACCATTTGATATTAGATAACCTATGTCTGTGTTCTTCCCTGGAGAAGACTATTCCTGCCTCTCTAATCATTTCTTATTTTCATTATATAAAATGATTAAGTGGGTTTACATCACTTCCACCTTAGATTATGTCACTGCAGACTTGAGAGCTGGTGTGCTGAAAGAGGCCCCCAGCTCTGACAGAAGCTGCTGTGCCAGTTCTCGTCAGCCTTTATCTGTTCTAAATGGAATTAAGGCCACTCAAGCTTTAACCGGAAAAAAAAAGGTAAAAGCAAGCTATACATAAAAGGTAAGCTGTTGTGTTGAAATGGAAAATACAGTAGCCTGTGTTAAATAAAGTCAAGGAACAGAACCAAAGGAGTGGGTTATGTAAGTAAAAAGCAGAATGGGCACCTTAGGAGACTAAGAGCCTTTCCACTAGAAATGACAGTAACAATGGCATTGTACACACAGGCACACACCATCTAGTGGATACTCACTGTGTTCCAAGGACTGCTGAGTCATTCATAAAACTTGATTCTTTTTGAAAATATTTATTTGTCAGTTGTTATTTCTATCATAAATCACATCTGCAGATAGAAAGTTGACATTCAAATATATCAAGAAAAACCCTTTTCTGGTTTTATTCCATGTCTGTGCTTGTAATCTTTAGCAGGATCTTTTCTCTCTCTGCCTCTACTTCCTGAGAAAGCTTCGTCTATTGCTGGGAGGTAAAGCCCTTCCTGGAGGACTCTTTATGGTTACTTTATACAAAAGTGGGAGACTTCATGTCTCATTCTTCTCCAGTCATTTCAGCCAGGTTGTTTTTAAATTTTGTGTGTGTGTGTGTGTGTGTGTGTGTGTGTGTGTGTGTGTGTGTGTGTGTGTTTGCATGTACCTGCATATGCCATGGTACCTGTGTGGTGGTCAAAGGACAATTTACGGGAGTCACCTCTCTCCCTATTGTGTCCAGGGATTGAATTGAGGTGATCAGGAAGGTGCCTTTACTGGCTGAGCCATCTCCCCAGTCCTCATTTTCAATTTTAATTTTAGATTTTAACTGAAATTTTATTTCATTTTAGAAATCACACAATATATATTTTCTTCCTCTCACACATTCTATATTGATATCAGCTCCAACACAGGAACTTTTGATCTATACAGATATTCCTCATAAAGATTCCAGACAGGCTGAGACCAGAACTGCTAAAAAGAACATCTCTAAAGATAGGGGGCAGTTTAACATGGGTTAAACACATTCCACTGAGGAAAATTTAAAAAGTAAGGAGAGACACAGTAACATTCTGAGGAGAGGGCAGAGGGCACTTACTTTTATAAGTGGTCTGAACAGCTCCAATTCCAGTGAGCCCTCCACATCCTCCCACAGCTAAGCAAAGACCTTCAAAGGTTCTGGTCTTTGTTTATGCTCAGATACCATGATGTTCTGTGATTCCATAGGCTCACTGGATTTTCCTACTGATTTCAGGAAAATGCATTCCTGAAGGATCAGGAGGTCCTGTGTATTGTCTGTCAGTATGGGAGGAGCAACAGCTGATAATGAGACCCTGATGAAAATTCAAATAGTTCTGGAGACCTGGAAACATAACCCCAGTTTTTCAAAGTGCAATAACTAGAACTTGCATTTCCTTTTATGACCAGAACAGTGTGCTCCAGCCAAGGAGCTTCTGTGCCCACTTATGGGATCATGTCTCGTGAGGCTTGTGCAATCAAGACTAGAACACTCTCTTCCTGGATTGCTAGCTCAAAGTGTTTTGAAGAACCTCTTGGGCCCAGTTTGGAGTTCATGGACAGCTCTGAGGGAGCAATTAGTTTGTCGACCCTATTTGTCATCTAAACATGAGATTATGGTGATGATTTCATTGTAAATAGATGTTCCAAAATGGGAAACATGGTCTCCCAATATTATTTGTACAGTAGAAAACACTTCAATTCTTTTTTCAGTTTTTAAGTTTTATTTATTTATTTTTTTTAAATTTTA